ATTTATATCTCAATTAATTCATAAGATATTCTTATATTTCAATAAATCTTATTATTTGAATATTTGATCTACCAAATCATAGTTCTCATATTTAAAGTATTTTATAGACATTTTTATCCTTACAAATTTTTTTTGAACGGTTAGCAATTTAGTGATATAAACATTCATATTTTACAATGTGAATATTCACATTGACATGTTAATATTTACAGTGATGGTATGCACATTCACAGCACAGAACGTTTATACTGTAAATATGAATATTATTAAGGGTATTTTGATAACTATATCACTCATAAGACTTATTAAAATATAAGAAAATAATGTGAACTAAATGAAATATAAGTAAATGAAAAGGGATTTATGAAAAAGTGTCCCTTTTGAAAATAAAATTCTAAACTTAAATTTGTGTTTTATATTTAAAAAAAAATTATTTACATGTGCTCTTATAGCACACGTGAAAATATTTATAATATTTTCAAATTTAACATTAAGCCTTTGTTTGGGATGTAGGTTGGCTTTTTGTCTTTTGGCTATTTTAACCTGAGGTTAAAAAGTCTCGTTTGTGATAGGTTTTTTGGCCTTTTTGACTTTTGTGAAAGAAAAAATGAAATGATTATGAATTAGATGTGACATTTTGTCTTATATGACTAAATTAGCCCAAACAATCATACCAAGTAGAGCCTAAAAGTATGTGTAATAAAAATTTAAATTTCATATACCGGTAAGGTATATAATAACAAGACTTATTTTGTTTAGTAATAATTAATGTTATAAAATTATATTTAGTAATTTTTAACTTAAGCATATTATAATTAAAAAATAAATCTTCTAAAAATGAAATAATAAATACTTAATACATGTTTTCAATATTATTCTGTCATTTAAATATTTATCACTATTAAAATATAGATTTCAAGCAAGGCTATATTTGGTATTAACAAATGTAAGTGGTTAAAAAATACCACTTTTATTTATTGAAAAAAATGTCACATTTAATGACTTATTTAATGATCTTGAGTCAAAATATTAAGGAAAAATTACTTTTCAGTCATATTTTTATAAAATTATTACATATTCATAAAAGAATTTATAATTTTAATTATTAATATTTATAAAATTTACACTTATTTATAGTTATTTTTCTAAACATCCAATAAAAAGTAATATTTTAAAAAATTTAACTCATAGGGTTATTTTGGAAATTACAAAATAAGTTAATTTTTTTTTACTTATTATGAAAAGACGTATAAAAAGTACATAAATAATATGACTCAAATAAATTAAAAAGTTAAAAAGACGTATAAAAAGTACATAAATTATCACTATAACCACGGTACATCACTAAGTGACTAGCACTATACTGGTCAATGGATCCATGACAAACACTGGGCCACAAAGTGGTCAATCACTAAGCCAATGGTTATTTAAGTCCCCCAGGCATGAGACTCCCGTGGTGGTATTCACAAAACATATTTTCACATAAGGTTATAGCCAATAATGACTTATTTAATGATCTTGAGTCAAAATATTAAGGAAAAATTACTTTTCAGTCATATTTTTATAAAATTATTACATATTCATAAAAGAATTTATAATTTTAATTATTAATATTTATAAAATTTACACTTATTTATTGTTATTTTTCTAAACATCCAATAAAAAGTAATATTTTAAAAAATTTAACTCATAGGGTTATTTTGGAAATTACAAAATAAGTTAATTTTTTTTTACTTATTATGAAAAGATGTATAAAAAGTACATAAATAATATGACTTAAATAAATTAAAAAGTTAAAAAGTCAATTAGGCCTATTTTAGAAATTGAAAATAAGCAGTTTTTTTCCTTATTTCCTTACTTTTTGACTTATTCATAAAATCATTTGGAAAAATTAAAATAAGCAATTTTTTAACCTTTTTTAAAATTATTTTAATACAATGTCACATTACTTGCAAAATTACCCTCATGGAATTTTGCTCTTTTTTTTTTAGGGGGGGGGTTATTCACACACATGAGGCACAGTAAAAAAATTAAAGTTTTAGAGACTAAAATTTAAAAACAAAATTATTTTTAAGGGACCAAATATTTTTATTGCGAAAAAGTGTTATCATTAAATTTTTAGCAACGAAAATTGGATATTAGTGATGAATTATTCATTTTGTGTCAAAAAATGGACTATTTTGATACCGAATTAGTTTGTCTCTAAAAGTCTATTTATTGGTGACATTTTTAAATTTTGTCGCTAAAAGTCTTGTTTTTGACTTTTTGAGACGATTTTTTAGTGACTATTCTCACGACGATGGAAATTAGTCCCTAAATATTTTTTACAACAAAATTTTCACTTTTAGAGATCAAAAAATTTGGTCTCTAAAACTTTAATATGTTGTAGTGAGGATATTTTGATAATTTCATTTGTTGACTTATTTCTAACTTTTCAAATGCTTTTTGACTTTTTAAAAATAAGCTAAAAACAAATTTTTTTTCTTTCTTCCCAAAATAAGCCTAAACTGCCTTAAACCATTTCTCAAGAGAGGCCTTAATGATATTACTAATAAGCACAACTCACATAAGATAAACACATACACAAAAATAATAAATAAATAAATAATCAAAGGTTTTTATCAATTTCAAAAAGGGACCTTTTCTGATAAATCCTCTTTCTAAGAGTTTTATTCCATAAAACCTGGGAAATTCTATTTCCACACACATAGTTATCTTAGTGCACATCTTTTCTCAGTGTACACACATAGTAGTTTGATTATTAATTTTTGTTCTCATTCCACACACCAATTATACCAATCATATCCTTAACTCATATATTGCATGCACACTACCTTAACCCTTTTTTCACACACCTTAACCCTCCTCCTCCATTCTATTTTGATTTTGATTTCGTTATATTTCGATTTCGATTTTGATCTCAATATCAAAATAATCCTTGGAAGAATATGATTGTGTGTTTTATAATAGAATAGATATATGCGTGTGCTTAGTTATATTTGTGTATTCATCTCCGTTTGTTTGAATTGATCGATCCTAGGAAGAATATGATTGAGTGCATTTGTTTAAGTCCTTATTTGTCTTGAAAATCTTTTGTTTTCAATTTCTGAGAAAGCAGAAAAATGAAAATTTTGATTTTTTTAGGGGGGTTAATTCTCCTTTCTGTTTTTAAACATCTAAGAGAAGAGCTCAACTAAAACATAATGTTTTGATACCATTGGTTCTCACAATTATGTTCAAATCCTGATTTTTTTTTTCATTTTTTTTCTACATTTTCTTGGGACCCAAATAGAATACATGTCGTTTTGATCTTTTATTTATTTCAATTGAAATTCATTCGAGCTAACAAGTTGCAAAATTAAATTGTGAGAATTTCTCTTTGGCTTACATACATGATATGACTTGATAATTTTGTTGGCAGCATTGTTACTATGGCGAGTCAATGATAATAAAGCTAGGATTTAGTTTTTTTTTCTTTTTCTTTTTTTTTATACTCAAAAAGTGTATATTGAGATTTTTTTTTTTTTTAAAAAAAAGATGTGTACAAAGAATATTTTCATATAATATTATAGGTGTTGATGGATGTCCATTATAGTCATTTTAATTTAGGATATAATTGCCATTAAAATAATATTTCATTAAGTGTGTGCACTGAGGTAACTAGGCATGTGAAAATATAATTTCTCATCAAACCCACATTCTTTTTGACTATTCTATTAGATCCTATTTGAGGTAAGAAGACAAAAACACCCCCAATCTCTCATGTCCCCTATTAATGTTGATTGCCATTATGTTTTGATTGTTCTCATACATCAATATGTTGACTGTCATTATATTTATATTAATTTGAAATGAATTTTTGTCATTGTGTTGTCAATTATATGATGTGAATATTCACATTATGTAATTGAAATGAATATTTATATAATTATATTCACATTAATTTGAAATGAATTTTTGTCATTGTATTGTCAATTACATGATGTGAATATTCATATGAAAACATACAAATGTGAACATTCACATCACTGCATTAGATGAGAAAGAACGTTCACATGCTATGAACGTTCACATCACTACATGTCGTGAATAAGAATGTGTTGTCAATTAAAAATATAATGAACGTTATTTTTAAAGTGTTGGCAATTAAAAACAAGAAGGTTCACGTGAACGTTTACATCACTACATTAGACGAGAGAGAATTTTCTGGAAATGTGTTGTGAATGTTCACCTCAGATGAGAGAGAATGTTCACATTATTTTTAATGTATTGTCAATTAAAAATATATTCACATTATATAATAATATAAAATAATAACATCAATGTTATTTAATTTGTGTATGAATTTCCTATGCCTTGGTCTTTTCATTTCTCTCTCCTCCCTCAACATTAAATATCAATATTAAATATAAGGGTATAAGAGTCTAAAAAAATAATGTAAATCAAGAAAAAATATTTTATGAAATAAAAGTATAAATACATGGGACTAAGAGCATCTCTATCAGTCTACTTATATTTTACCCTAAAATATTATTAAAAAATTCATTCCCTATTTTAGGAATCACTTTTTCATTTACTTCCCCAACAAACTCTTTATTCTTTCTCTATTCTATTAAAATAATCTTTTCAACCGCTTTTAAATATGAATTTTTTTTATTAAAAAAATAATAAAAACACATGTCAACCAACTCAGCAATTTCAGTCAGTATGCTCCTACTCAAATTTTGAAAATTTTCAAACAACATCATTAATTTCAGTTCAGGCAATGGGGCAGCTACTCAAATTGTACCAACACTTCAAACAACAACGGTCATTTTTTCAATAGCCTAACTTCAGGCAATGGGGCAGCTACTCAAATTGTACCAACACTTCAAACAACAACGGTCATTTTTTCAATAGCCTAACGGTCATGTTTTTCAAATTATATAAATAGCACTATTTGCTCTCCCCATTTCAATTTGAAACCAATTTCTTTTGAATTGATTCTCTAAATTTTTTCTATGGCTCGCAATTGTGTAATCAATATGATTACTAATTATGAAGACTCTTATGATCAGTTAGAGATATATACAGTGGTTGCAATGGAAGAAAAACGACCTGAGAGACAATCAATCTCACATCGTGGTGTTAAAGACCGCAAATATATTCGACGTGATTTTGGTCAAGGCCATGAAAGGCTTTTTCTTGACTATTTTGCTGAACCACCTGTATATCCCTCCAATTTATTTCAGAGGAGATTTCGGATGCGCCGTTGTCTTTTTCTCCAAATTCAAGCAGTAGCAGAAGCAAGTGATCCATACTTCATCCAAAAAAGAAATGCTGCTGGAATGCTCGGTTTATCTTCTCTTCAAAAAATGATCGTCGCACTTTGGATGCTTGCTTATAGAATAACAGTTGATTACATGGATGAATATCTGAGGATCGGAGAAAGCACCGCATTGGATAGTCTGAAAAAGTTTGTTAAAGCTATTGTAGTAATTTATTCAAATAAGTACTTAAGGTCACCAAACAACGATGATATTGCTAAATTGCTAGCAGTTGGTGAAAGCCGCGATTTTCCTGGAATGTTGGGGAGTATAGATTGTATGCACTATAAATGGAAAAATTATCCGACTGCGTTAAGCGGAATGTATACTGGTCATATTCATGAACCAACAATTATTTTGGAAACAGTGGCGTCATATGATCTTTGGATATAGCATGCATTTTTTAGGTTACCAGGATCTCATAATGACATCAACATGCTAGATCGATCTCCTGTATTTGCTGAGCTTGCTGAGGACCACGGTCCTCCAATCAATTACTCAATCAATGGTAATGACTATACAATGGGATACTACCTTGCTAATGGAATATATCCACAATGGTCAACATTTATAAAAACAATTCCATGTCCACGAGGAAACAAGAAAAAGTATTTTGCTTCAGCCCAAGAGTCCACCAGAAAGGATATAGAGCGTGCATTTGAAGTGCTACAAGCTAGATTTGCTATAGTACCTCAACCTGCACATTTTTTGAACACTAAGACTTTGAAATATGTTATGATGGCATGCGTGATATTGCATAATATGATCGTTGAGGATGAGCGATATGTCAATGGATTAGAAGACTTCAATTATGATGCAATCGATAGAAGTTCACAAGAACCGGTCTCACACAAGCATACACCTGAATTTATGGAATTCATTCAAAATTAGCATCGCATTAGGGACAAGGAAACTCATTCTCGACTCCAAGCTGACCTTGTTGAGCACTTGTGGCAAGTGCATGGACAATCATGCTAGAACTTTATTTTAATATAAATATTTAAATTGTACCACTTATTTTAGTTTAAGAAGTCTTGTATTGCTATGTGTTAGACATATTGATTTTGATGATTGCTTTTGATTATGTTTTGATTTTTTTTTTAAAACATGGATTAAAATTTAAAAAAAACTTAGGGTGTGTTTGGTTTGTGTTTTGAAACATGTTTTTGGAAGAAATTTCCAAAAACATGTTTGGTTACAAATTTTCTCAAAAAAAATTTCAAAATTACTTCTCTCTCTATTACACATCAATCAATCATTTTTTCTTTCACACATATCTACTCAACTACAACAAAATATCAAATCATTCCAAACTCTCCCAAACTTCAAAATTATTTTCAAAATATACAACCAAACAAACCAAAAAAATTTCTTAACTCTCTCTCTAAATTTTTTTTTTTGAAAATTTATCTCAAAACACAAACCAAACACGTCCTTAATGTTTGATTTTTTTTTTTTTTTTTGATCAACAAAAAAAAAAAGAACTTTATTGACGAAGAAGGAAAAAAACTGAATGCCAATATAAAACCAAGCATCTAGCAGCAGCAGTAGCAACAAAACTCCCACCATTTCAAATCATTAAATTGCTTCTTACACTTGGACCATATTATTGGAATGGAAATGGTGTTTAAACAGGTCAAGAATCAAGCACAAAATAGGCCCAAAATAGAGTGCAAAACAGCACCAGCAAAGCAACCGAAAACAAAAAAGGGTGGACATCCGGGTGGACATCCTCCTGGACGTCTTGGGCTACTATGTTTGCCTATTCTGTTGTAGCTGCTTTGCTTGTTGTTCTTCTGCTGTTTTGGCGATGGAATAACATTTGTTTAAGCTTAGTTTTGATCTCATGAACAACATGGTCCATTACAAAATTCCAAGTATATACATCTCTAACTTTTTATCTCAGAAACATGATCTCATAAACAACATGGTCTATTCCAACATCACGGTCCATAAACAAAATTCTTGCATTATAGTCAAAATGCATTACATTTTCATACCATGGTCCATTACAAAATTCTTGCACTATAGTCAATATACATTACATTTTCAGGCCATGGTCAATTACAAAATTTTCCTGTAGAATTGAGTCAAAATACATTAATTTCCATATCATAGCCCATACAAAAAAAATATTAACTTCCATAACCTGCAGTTATGCAGTTACTTTCCTTTTTCAAGGATTTCCAAACGGCGACGATCGTAATATTGTTGTTGCATTGGAGACAAACCACTAGCATTCATCAACATAATTCTTTTCTCCTCTTTAAGTTGTTCTGCTCTGAACATTTCATTTTTCATAGCAAATCTTTCTTTCTCATGAAGAAGCCTTTATTCCTCTTGAAGAAGCCTTTGTTCCTTGTGTCGAAGTCTTTGTTCCTCCTAAACATATGCTTTCTCAAGGATTTCTATTTTCTTCTCACTATTCTTTTTATTATCATCCTTTATCTCAGTTAGTATCCCAACAAGAGGAGAAGTCATACAATCTCCATTCTTTCGTTTCTTTATCCGTTCTTTTTCAGCTTTCCTGCCTATTGGTCTCTCCAAGTCTACAAAGGCATCATGCGATCCATCATCATCCCCTAGATTAACTATATCTGGAGTAGAGGGGGGGATGGTGGTCAATGTTGGCTTTTTTGTTGATTTTTTCTTTTCACAATCCTTCACCCATTTTGCTTGGAACCTTAACAAATTCCAACAATGATCAAACTGAAATGAACTTTTATGCAATTCTTGGTATAATAGTTTTGCTTGAGAGATCTAAAATTAAAATATAAAAGTCAACAATTATAAAAGAGTAATAATTGCAAAATGTATAATTTTTTTAAAAAATTATAAATCACCTTGTCTTGCTCATTTATACAACTTTGATGCCTTGATTCAATTTGGGCAAAACATCCATAGAACTTATTTGTGCCAAGTTGAATGGTTGACCACCGATGCATTAGAGAGTTCACATTACGTTCATGATTGGAGGTATTGTGTTTGTGCAAGTACTCATATACTATTGACCAATATGTCTTATGTTTTTGCTCATTCCCATACACTGCATCCAGGCTAGTATTAAGCCATGTTGATACAATGAGATTGTCTTCATCTATAGTGAAGTTTCCACCACGTGATCTTTTAGTAGTGGATCCTATTTGAGGTGAGAATTGAGTTGTTTAAGCAAGTACTTGAGTATTTTGTTTCAAATTTTGACCCATTTGATCTTGAGAATCCATAAAAATTAAATCATCAAAGTTGGAATCCTTGTGCAAAAGATTGGTGAAGTATTTGCCTCCTTGTGAATCCATCCTTACATATTGAATAGAAAACACAAATAGAATTCAAACAAGAACTAACTATTTTTAACAATTCTATGTGCAGCATATGCAATAATTCTATTTACTACAAGCCTATCAACAAAATTTCATAATAATCCACCAAAATTGAAAACATTAATAAGGCATTACCTTAATGAACAACTTTTATATAAAATATTTATTCCTGTTCAACCACAAAGTCTATAAACTAGAAAAGTCACAGATTCTCATATAAATTTCTTTAAACCATTGATTTCTTCAATTTTTAGGAAGTAAAATTGATTGCAATCAAATTCTCAATGACCTCATATATATAAAATATCTATTCCTATTCAACCACAAACTCCATAAACCAGTAAATTAAAATAGATTCTTATATAATTTTCAAATTACCATCACCAAAACCAAAGCATCGCATAAATATTTGCAAGTTTTTGGTCTCTATTTGGTGAAGAAGCAAAGAGAGAGATACACACTATACAGAGAGAAATATAATAGAAAAAGTAGGGTTTAGATTGGGAACAACACAAAGAAAATACATACCAGAAATTGCCTTTTGTAATAACCCCGACCCGTAATTAGCTACTAATCAGTAATTAAGGATGTTAATTAAGTGAATAAAATAAATTACGGGATTATTATGTAAATTGCATGAGGTTTGGCTTTCTATCTGTCACTTGTAGAAATATCTGTTTAGAATTCCGCTTTGATATGAAAATTGAAAGCCTTATCAGCATCCGAAACCGAAATTGACTACACCAATGTGTTATTTGGAATTTTTAGAACCATATGGTAAATTTTATTAAAATTTGATTCAGTCTGATTAATTAAGTCATGTTTGGTTAGCCTAATATTCTAACTAATGTATTTTGGCATCATAACTTTGTATTCAACACATTTAGCTCATTTCCCCTCATTCCTTGAATGCAAAAATCTGAGAATACATTCTAGAGTGAGAGTGAGACTCCATTTTAGAGAGAGAAGGTGTGGATTCAAGGAAGAAGTGAAGAATTTTGCTAGAGTAGCTCAAGTTTGGCAAGAATCTTGTGTAATTGAGGGCTTTTGGTGAGCATCTAACCCATAATTCATAAAGAAGTTGTGTTATAAAGATGCATTCATGGAGTTGTTAGGATCATTTGCATGTAATTTGCATATGGTTATGAAGAGGATGGAGGATTTGGCTATACTTCCACTTGCATGTGTGTAATAACCCTCATCACTGCTTACCGATAAACATTGATTATCGTCAAACCGAACTGATTATGACTGATAATTGAACTGATTAAACTACTGAACTAACTGACTGAAAACTGGAACTGAATTGACTGAGTATGTGTGTTAATCTGTATTCTATCTGTTTGATTGTTTACTTGATCTGTTCACGTTTTATGTTTAAACTGCTAATTGAAGGCCTTATCGGCGGCCAAACCGGGAATTGATTGATGTTTTATGATCCTCATAATTACTGTGATTTTATGGTGTATTTATCTGAAAACTGATTAGGTATGATTAAATTAGATGAAATATTGATAGATTGCTTAAGTTTGACTTAATTACCATTAGACCACTTAGTGGCCACTACCTCACACATGTTGAGCCTTGTACACACTTAAATCAAAACATTTGCTCAGCCTTCCTCCTTGCCATAGCCGACCAAGAGAGAAGAGAGGGAGAGAGTGAGAGAAATTGGATTCATCTTGAAGAATTGCTTGGTAATTGAAGTGTAGATTGCTATTTGAGCTCCCAAACCTTGAATACAAGACCTAGGTAAGGATTTCATCTTCTCATTCTTGTGTTTGAGCTAATTCGTGCATGGTTCATGCTTCATTGTAGAACTAAGTTATGTTTTGGTTCATTGTTGTCGAATTGAAGCTCAATCCTTGCATACATTGTTGTATTGTAGATGTTGAGTTGTTTTCATGGCAAAATGGTACATGCATGCTCACAATTATGTTTAAGTCCATGATTTCATCATGTTTTGGAAACAATTGGCTCCTTAGAGCATCAAATTGAAGCTTTGAATTGATTTGAATTCATGCATATTTGCATGTTTATCCTGTTCTTGAAAATGGTTTGAAATGGGTTTGAATTAAACACCCTTGGGCTTTGATTTCTCAAAGTTGAGTTTTGAATCATGTTTAACTATGTGTTTACAAATGTTTTCTGGAAATTTAGCCCAAAAGGTCGAGTTTTGAGTTGTTAAAACTTGGTTTTTGGCTTGGAGGTGCAATCTGGGTTTTCCAGAGTTTGCACTTCCGCTCGAGCGGGGGACTAGTGACGCTCGAGCGTGGAATCCGAGCATCTAGTATTTTCTCTGCACTGTTTTACAGTCCGCTCGAGCGGAGGATTGGGCGCTCGAGCAGAGGCATGTGTCTCACAATCGAGCGGGTGTCGAGCGTCCGTCGAGCGAAGATTTCACCCATCCAGTACTTTTACAGTACGCTCGAGCGGGAAAGTTGACGCTCGAGCGTGTACCTTTGTTGCATGACTGCTCGAGCGGGGAAACCGCGCTCGAACGGGACTCTGTTTTTCTGAAACTTCTGAAACTACTTTTAAACGTGCATCTTTGCATCCTCATCCCATTCT